CTATGTCACTGACTCTGGGCTCAAGAGTCCCCAGGTCTTGCCACACTGCTGGCCAATCAGGTCTCTACCCGGGTTCACAGGAGTCTGTTGAACGTTGTAGGGTTTATAGCTCGCAGCTTCATTGCTGTTTTTCCCTCACTTCCCCTTTCTGATGACGAACGTGGTCACCAATCAGAACATGTATTCCCATTGAGTCTTAATCTTAGAAGGGGGTTTGCCCTGAGGGGACCTGATCACTTGCCTTGATGTCTCATGGGCAAGCAACTTGCTTGTTCTTGTAGTAATCAGTCAGACTGCCTATATTGTTTTGTATTTGCTTGTCTTTTCAAGTGGGAATTTCCCATCTCAGAAGATTCTGGATGGGGATCAGGATTCCACCTAAGGTCTTATACTGTACAAAGGCTCCGCAAGAAGCCTCTTTCACTTGACATTAGTTCTAGCACCCCTTTTAGGTATTCCAATCAGTTACATGCTGAAGGTGGGCTTATAAGTTTTCTGTAATCATGTTTTCCAATACTCATTTCTATCCCACTCAAGTGTCTATTTTATAATAGTAGGCAAGGGAAACCAATATTAATAAGAGTCAAACATCTTACCATGATTTCCCCTCTTTTACCCATTCACACTATGCCTCAATCCGTGTATCACAGAGCTCTTTTGTTCTAAGGTTGAGCATTCATCACTATTTACCTCTGTCCCATTTAGCCCATGCAAGCCTGCCTAAGTGTTCTCCTATCTACCTTGTTCTGCCCCCCTCCCCCTTCTTCTGTTTTGCCCACCCAACACCCGAACTGTGATTTGTCTATTCCCTACTTTGTTCTCTACCATCCCCTCCCTCCACCCCTTGTAACCAACAAAGAACTTTTTCCTTTTTTCATTTGTCTTCCTTTTTGTGTGGGTATCTTTTCTTAGGCTTTTATAATAATGGTCTTATACAATATTTCTCCTTCATTGACTGACTAATTTCACTCAACACTATGTCTTTAAGGTTCATCCATGTTAAGTTGGTGGCTTACAGCTTCCTTGTTATTCTTTAAGGTAGCATAATAGTCCATTGTTTGTATGTATCACAGTTTGTTTATGCATTCTTCCATTGATGGGCACTTGGCTGTCTCCATCCTCTTGCTATTGTGAATCGTGCTGCCATGAACATTGGTGTGCATATGTCTACTCATGTTATGGTTGAGCCCATTTTTACAGCCACTGTGTCAATCCATCTATTGAGGATTTTCTGTTTCACTGATCCTCTACTTTACCAATCATGATATTCTTCTCCAGAGACTGGGCCCTTCATAAATGGCTGTTAAGAATACTGTGACTTGGGTCAGGCTAACTATCATCCTCAAAGAGATGTCTTTGCATTTTTTACACTTTAACAGTAGGTTTGCCTAGTGCAATACTCATTTCATTTCTTGACTGCTGCTTTCCTCAGTGTTGATTGTGTACCTAAGGAAAGTGAAATCCTTGACAACTACAGTATTTTCTCTGTTTACCATGAGGTGGTTTTTTGATCTATTTGTGAGGATTTTCTTTTTTTAATTGTTGAGGTGTAATGCATACTGAAGGCTGTAAGTGTTGGTCTTTATGAATAAGTGCATCAAGCCCTGCTCACTTTTAGCAAACAAGGTTGTGTAATCTGTGTATCACATGGTGTTAATGTGTGCTCTCCCAATCCTGATGCTGCATTCACTATATATATTCATCCTACTAGACATTGCACCAGTCATCAGTCAGTCTGTCGAACTGTGGTGGCTTGTGTGCTGTTTGATTCTGGAATCTATGCCACCGGTATTTTAAATACCAGCAGGATCACCCATGGTGCACAGGTTTCAACTGAGCTACCAGATGAAGACAGAGTAGGAAGAAGGAGAGATGGATTACTTCCAAATGTTTAGTCACTGAAAAACTTATGAATAGCAATGGAACACTGTCAGCACCAGAATATTGAATATTGAGACATGATGAAGAATGCCAGAATATTATCAAATATAGTGCCAGAAGATGAGCCCCTCAGGTTGGAAGGTAGTCAGGATACAACTGTGAAAGAGCTGCCTCCTCAAAGTTGAGTTAACTGTGATGACATGGATGGAGTAAAGCTTTGGGGACCTTCATTTCCTGAAGAGGCAAAACTGAAAATGAGGAGAAAGATCTGTAAATACCCATTAATAATTGGAACATGGACTATATGAAGTATGAATCTAGAAAAATTGGAAGTTGTCAGAAATTAAATATAATACATCAACATCGATATCCCAGGCACTATTGTTATTGTTGTTGTTAGGTGCCATTGAGTCAGTACCGACTCATAGCGACCCTGTGCACAACAGAATGAAATGCAGCCCCATCCTGTGCCAACCTCACAATTGTTGCTATGCTTGAGCCCATTGCTACTGCCACAGTGCCAGTCCATCTCGTTGGGGTCTTTATCTTTTTCACTGGCCCTCGACTTTATTAAGCATGATGTCCTTCTGCAAGAACTGGTCCCTCCCAACGATATGTCTGAAGACTGAGAAACAAACAAAGTCTGGCCATCCTGGCTTCTAGGACTATTCTAACAGTGAATAAGGAAGACCATCAAACAA